TAAGTTTATGAATTAAACCGTAAATATATTAATACCGTTCCGTCAAGAGCCATAGCTCTATTTAATGCATGTTCAGAATTGAAATCAATGTGAGCAAATTGCTTTTGAGGTATGAAACGGATATCTTCAACCTATTACACAATAGGATTAAGTTTATTAGTAACTCAAATTTGAAAGAACCAATAAAATAAAGAAAAATACGAACATCTTCACTATCAAATAGATCACGCAAATGTTCTAGTCTCATAGAACCAGGCCATGAGATGTAAATAGTAAATACATCCGACTTGTGAAAAAAAAAGGGGAAATTGCGGTTATATCTTCGCATATAATATCAATTGCTTTCTTTAATTCATCACCTTATTATTATGATTATTGTTATGATTATTGTTATGATTATTGTTATGATTATTGTTGCGATGATTGTTATTCTGATGATTATTATTATTATGACGATGGCCGCCACGATATTTATTGTTACTATTATGCGATCTTTTAGAATCTGGTCCATTCTCGTTCCAGTTTGCTATAGTTGGAACTTCAGTAAAACGATGCTGAGTTGGAACATCCGTTACTTGTTCTACGTCAGATGGCTTGAAACCTTGACTAGACTAAAAAGAAATAAAGTAATGTAGAATTAATAAGAATTATAAGACAAATAATTTGGTATATAATGTATTAATATAAACGCATACATCTAAACTCGAATCATAACGAGTCTTACTAGGAGATCTTCTAGCTTTCTGTTTATCTGGTCAAATTGATTTGTAATTTTTATATGTAAGTTATTGACTGATAAAATATTTTGAAAACAACGAACTTAATGATTATCAGGCGATATACCATCAGTGCTAGGTGGAGTTAATCGACTTGAATTCTAATTGTTTATAAAGAAAGGTGAGTTAGTTATACAGAACATATATCCACCCAATAAATCAATAAAGTTTGCGTAACCGCAAATAGATATAAGAATATTGTCAAATCATTAATCGATACAATATAATTTAAAATTCACCTCTAATCCTGAAATGAAATCATCGACGGCTGTTTCTATGGCTCTTTTAAATTCTGTTACTTTATATTTATTGCGATTTGTTGACTAATTAATTAAAAATAAAGAAAATTTAAAAGGAATTAATACGTAACGATATATAAATAGAAAAACGAAAGATGCTGTATATTCTGAGGATTCTTTAAATATCGAGAAAAGAAAATTGATAATCTACTTGTGATTTTAATGCGTTATTCTCGATTTTCAATTCTTCGATCTTTTCTTTCAATAGACTGATTTCTTTCTGTAAAGAAATGTTTGTTTAAAAAAAATAGAATAAAAAAAAAAGCTGGGAAAACGAAGTTTA